AGCAGATCAAGGGACGTGATCGTTCCCCTTTATTCGACATTGGTGAGGCCTCATCTGGAATACTGTGTCCAGTTTTGGGCCCCACACTACAAGAAGGATGTGAAAAAATTGGAAAGAGTCCAGCGGAGGATAACAAAAATGATTAGGGGACTGTTACTTGTGACTTATGAGGAGAGGCTGAGGGAACTGGGATTGTTTAGTCTCCAGAAGAGAAGAATATGGGGGGATTTGATAGCAGCCTTCAACTACCTGAAGGGGGGTTCCAAAGAGGTTGGAGCTCGGCTGTTCTCAGTGGTGGCAGATGACAGAACAAGGAGCAATGGTCTCAAGTTGCAGTGGGGGAGGTTTAGGTTGGATATTAGGAAACACTATTTCACTAGGAGGGTGGTGAAGCACTGGAATGCGTTACCTAGGGAGGTGGTGGAGTCTCCGTCCTTGGAGGTTTTTAAGGCCTGGCTTGACAAAGCCCTGGCTGGGATGATTTAGCTGGGAATTGGTCCTGCTTTGAGCAGGGGGTTGGACTAGATACTTCCTGAGGTCCCTTCCAACCCTGATGTCCTATGATTCCATGAGTCTATGACTAGTCTATGTTACCTAATCCTCACCACACTAACCCCCACCCGGCCCCCCGACGACTGGGCCATCACTGCAAACTCATGTGCGGAGATCCAGGGTGCAGACGACCTCTGAAAACTGCCCCGAGGAAGGAGGAGAAACGCTGAGCCGTGAGCAAAGCCGGCCCCCAAGGAGACACGCCGGTCGGATCAGAATCAGAGGCTATCACATTGGAGGTGATGGGCACTCGGCAGGGGGTTGTCGGAGACCCTCTAGGAAAAGGGAGGGAAGACCTCGCAGGGCAAAACCGATTTGCTGTAGGGGGTTGGGCAGGCGACGCAGATTTCTGGCGCTGGAGGGGAAGTCGACGGCACAAGAACATGGGGTGGAAAAAGGTCGTGGCTGGACGAGGTGGTTCCCTCGGGTGGATCTAAAAGACAAGTCATCCACAAAGAGATGAGCAGAGGATGGTGCAGAATGGGCGACCGGGGAGGCAACCCGCCAGTGATGGAGATGAAGAAGGAGGAGGAGGAGGAAGAAAAGTATATTCATCGCCATGAGCGAACAGGAATGGAGAGCATCTCTCCAGCAGGAAAAGTCTCACTGAGCTATTCCTAGCCACGGGGAAAGCCGGTGACACTCGGGCATCTGCTCTCCGCCATGGTGACGACGTTCTCCAGATGGTCAAACGGCCGCACGCTCCGTGACAGGGAATGAAACGAGGTGGCGATCGGCCGCCCCAATGCAAGATGAGCCGAGGGGCTGAGGTCGGTACGGACGTGTCCAGC